TACTATACTATATTCTATTTTATATTTATTATATTACTTTGCTGTGCCTACAAAAAGTGTAAGGCAATGCATTTTATCCTCACAATAACCCTGTGAAGTAGCTTCGACTGAGACATAGATGGTGGCCCAAAGTAACCTAGTGAGAACTTAATGGTTTGGTATGGAATTGAAACAGAATCTCTTTGGTCACAGTTCCTAACTATACATGAGTATAGTTCCTACACTATACTCATGCTTTCAAATAGACTACATCCCTATATCATGGTAGCAGGCGCTGACTCCCCTCCACCCTGTGAGTAGCCAGTGTACTGTCTGTACATCTTCACACTCACACACTGTACATGCTTAGGCTAGTTCACACAACTGGAAACTGTGCTTTTTGCAGAGTTCCCATTGCTGTATACATAGCCTACACAGGTCCATTTTGTAAGCATTTAGGGCTGTGCAGCAAAATATGCCGTGCATATATCCACTTCATAGTGGTGCAGAGAAGGGCTTTTTGCATGGTGGTACTCACCTTGTGAAATGAAAATACTCAGAAGATCAACCAGCTATTGAGTGCTTTCATTGGCAATTAAAATCTTTCACCCAAACATTTTCTGACTTTTAATACCTGCTCCTGTCATATGGGACTTCTTTACTTGATACTGATACTTTGCTTTTATTGTTATATCTTGCTATCTTTTATCCTTATTTTATGATGTTAGCCACTCTGAGCCCAGGCGGGATACAAATAATTTTGTTGTTGTTGTTGTCTGTAAACCACCATTGTATTTCTTTCAATGAAAATAATTTTATATGAAAAGATTTTATATCTGTCACAATGCCCCCTGCTCCACCCAAACAATATGATGGCATTCATTTCAAATCTGTTTGATTAGAGTACATCTTTTTCTGGTGGTTAGGTCTATCTCCTTCATAGTCAGGAGTCAATTCCCCAGTTTTGTGTTAAGTGGCTAAAAGCCAGCACTTCTAACCTTTTAAATATTTAAGTATCTGTTAAGCTAACAGACTCGGAAACATTTTTTTTGCAGAAAAAATAATCATTTCTTTTTTAAAATATTAAAAGTTAGATGATAAATAATTAAATAGTTATTTTCCCACAACAATGAGCTTTCCTTTTAGATAAATATAATGCAGCATTTGAATGTCCATTCTGAATATTAAAACTCAACATGCCACCAGTACTGATTATAAATATACTTTTCAATGACAATTATTCCTCCCCTCTCCCTGTTAAACAGGGCAGGCAGCAGTAAGATTGATATTGAAGAGAGGAAGGGAGAGCTGAAAGGATAGCTATTGTTAGGAATTCCTAGTCACCCATGCTTGACAATCCTACACTTGAAGCACTGTATTAATCAGATACTGAGGTCAAACACAATGCAATTCTTTACATGACTAATTTACATGAAAGTCCCATTGATTTCTATAACATTTTTTTCCAGACAACTGTGTGCAGGATTGCAGCCTTAGCCTGAAATTCTATACGTATTAATGTGGCAGTAAGTCCATTGACCTCAACGGGGCTTACTTCTGAGTAGATATATATAGGTTGCAGTCTTAGTCATAGTTTTTCAGAGAGAGAAAATAACAGTAGGTTGAATTCAATGGTGAATTCCCACTGACCGAAGGTATCCATAAGTGAAATGGGGAAAGGGAAATTCAGAGGGTACTTCAGATTTTGAGAAGGTGCAGAACATGGCAGAGACAGAGAGAAATGGCGACCGTTCCACTGATGAATGTCTTCGATCAGTGAACACCCAGTGAAAGGTATTTGACAAGGATTCCAGAATGTAGAAACATAAAATTGGATTATTGGTTCATAGGTAGTATCCGGCAGTATCCATCCACTGACAGGCAGCAGAGTCTTCCATAAGCAGTAAATCGGCAACATTTTTGCCGATTCCTCCTCCTCTATCTAGCTGCAAAAAAACAACAACCCCAATCTACTCCAGAAGCATGAAGACCCTTTGGAACAGATTGGGAGGTGACACAGGATCTTAAAGGCATGGGGCAAAAGGAGAATCAATGCTTCCCCATCTCTGCTCACAGAAGCTTCTACTGGATCAACGAGTCACCCATCATTGGAGGGGCATAATTGGCTACACCTCCCATATAAGCACAGATGTGACACTATACACGGCTGGTAGTAATGGTAATGATTTCTTCACCCCAGTATCAACTCCTATGGGGTAAAACTCTGAGACCATGTTTGTTTTCGCTTAAGTTCAAAATCTCTTGATGTTATGAATACAGGGTTGGCACAGCCATTAGGCAGGCCGAGACTGCTGCCTCAGGCAGCAGAAGGCCCCGAAGCAGCAACCCCGCAGGTGCCCCACCACTGATTCTGGGTGAGATCTGACCAATTTCTGGCAATATATTGTGGAACGCAGGAGACCTCACACAATTTTGTCACAATCTTGCCGCAAATTTGCGACGATGCTGGTGCTGCTTCTCTGGTAGCAGGGGCACAGGGAGCGACGCTTCCTGTTTTGCCTCAAGCAGTAAAATGGGATGCACCACCCCCTGCATAAATAAACAAAAATAAGGTGCACTGTAAAGCCTTCTTCTCTTAAGTGCCGTATCACTATGAAACATAAGCCTAAGGTTGCTGAAAATAGAGTCAGGTTCTTTGCATCCAAACTAGGTCACAGCTGCTATAGGAAAGATGAGTCCTGAGCCAATATTGTTCTTTTTAAATTATTTTGGTGTGTTTTTTAAAATATACTTTTTATTGTTCATGGATTAGATATGCTCTTATTTTAAAAGGCAGAATTTGGGTACATGCATATTGTGTTTTCTGCTTCTCTGCTGCAATTGTCTTGATAATCCTACCCTGTATGATGTTGATGGCTTGTAGACCAAAAACACTGAAACCAATGTCAAGCAGTTGCTAAAATCAATTTTTGTTGGGGGGTCATTTAGACCCCCAGCGCCTTGGATGCTTTTCATTTTCTGTTATTCACTTAAACTAGAAGCTAACTGACCCCAAGTCTGCTTTAGTGGAACAGTAACCATCATCCAATGCAGCCAAATATGATCAGTCCACATTGGGTTGTTGTTCGGTTTCCACTTGTAGAGTTCCCACCCTAAAGTCTTTTCTACTTTACTACCTTTGGGGAGTCCTCTTCCCCACAGGATGGCCCTGTTCTGTGTGGATGTGCTGTTTCATCTACATAAGGACCAGCTCTTAGAGACCAGAGTCTATTATAGGTATACCATCAATTGAAAGAAAAATACAACGGTCATTGAAGACAGGTTGAACTACCACAGCATTATAACACACACACACCATTTTCAGGAAGCAAAAAGTTTTACATGCTTAAAAGACCAGTTTGTGATCATTCATGGACGCAAAAGTATAGGATGCTTTAAATGCCTATAGAATCACCTCAAATAAATTATACATATATAAAACATTAGCTGCTTGGGGACATTCAGAGATATCACTTTTCATAAGAAACATGGAAAGCATGTGGGCTATAAAGAAAAACATATGCATATTGTCAATAGTAGTACCTGTTCAATTACAGTTTATTTCAGTATGGAGAATCCTGTTCAGCCCCTAGATGGCAATACTATCAAACAGTTTTTATACCAGGAGTACTTAATGATTAACAACCAGCGTTCAGTCATCCAACATACTCAAGGCAGCCATTAAAAAAATAACAAAAATGATTTCATTATAGATTCTTTTAATAAACATTTATGGCTTAGATCCTTGAAAGTGGAAGCATTCAAACTGCCATAGCCAAAGGGAACTTGTATAGCCCAATGCAAAATTATGGACTGTGGGTTAAAAGTATGGAGCTCAAATGAAGGTTCGTGCTTGGAATAAAAATCTGTCATCAGAAATTATGCTGGCACAAAACACAATTAAAATTAGCTTTACAATTGGATGCAGTCTTTATTAATAGGTTTTTATGAGGACAGTTATGTATTACACTTCGACAACTGAACTTTTAAAAGCCTAAACTTTACACCCTAAGGTTTAGAAATGAAGATGGGGTGGCCACGCAAAGTTAAATGATTGGTTCTTATGTATTACAAAGAGCCTTGGAAATAGAACAAACATGGAACTGTACACATTAAGATATAAAATACTTGGCTCTTTCTATGTGTCTTTGACTGCAGACGGAACAATCAAGAAAGGTATTCTAGTGCTATTGTTGTTAAAAAACCCCCAATGAATTTTCATAAAGCTTGCTACAAACTGTCCTGTATTATTTGCTGCAATAATTCAAGATTCCTTAGAAAGCTTCCTTTATGGACTGCATCAAAAGCTTGGGGGGGACTTTAAAATAGCAAAATATAATGTGGTAATGGCCAAACCACAGATTATGTTAAATTCCTGGTCACTGTTAACATGCCTTTTCTTTTCTTTTATAAACAGCAGATCCAGGGCAGCTAATCAGGACTGGGACCACAGCACACTGGGAGTAAAAATTAACCGTTACCACTTATGCCACAGTACCGATTAAAATTGCCCCCCTTGAAGCTGCTATTTGCCACACTAGGGAAGCTGTCATTAGGGCCTTAGCACCCATGATATTCAGGATTAGAAGCACGGTGCATGGGAAGGTAATATTTTCCTTGTATTGCACTCCTGATTAAAATTCCTGCCCAAGAAGATGCTATTTCAAGTACAACGTAAGCTTCTTTGAGAAGTGAATGTTTTGGCAGGATCATCACATTGAGGGGTGAGGGTGGGTGGAAGGTTAGACCTTCCCCCACGTGCTTTGGTCCCTGAATTGCTCACAGCTGCTAGTTTAAAAAGATATGCTAAACACAATCACGTATTGACTTTGGCTTGAGCATGGCAGGCTACCACTTCTTCAAGACAGCATGCACTTCAACACCCATCTGTTCCTGTATCTGTTCCAGCTACTACGAATCTAGGGTTTGGAGACTTTTATAGACTAGTTGGTTGGATCCTCACCTCCTGCCAAAAGATTAAGTCAATTATGTGGCAGTAGGTTCCTACAGTGGGATTCCGGGGAAGGGCTGTAGCTCAGCGAAAGAGCATCTGCTTTGCATGAATGCAAAAGGCCCCAGAGTCAATCCCTGGCATTTCCAGATAGGGCTGGGAGATATTGTAGGTAATACTGAGCTAGATGCATCAGTAAGTCCATCTCAGTATAAGTCAGCTGGGATGCATTTGCCAATGGTGAGAGCAGGTTTTGCCAGAGCTACTCTGTATGTCCTTAATATGTAGTAATTATTCATATGTACAAGACCTGGAAGTTTGTTTATTCATTTACAGTGGTACCTCGGGTTACATACGCTTCAGGTTACATACGCTTCAGGTTACAGACTCCACTAACCCAGAAATAGTGCTTCAGGTTAAGAACTTTGCTTCAGGATGAGAACAGAAATCATGCTCCGGCAGCACGGCAGCAGCAGGAGGTCCCATTAGCTAAAGTGGTGCTTCAGGTTAAGAACAGTTTCAGGTTAAGTACGGACCTCTGGAACGAATTAAGTACTTAACCCGAGGTACCACTGTACTTTGATTTATATCATATCCTATCCCTTAGGTTGGAGGCATCTTGGTTCTCCTACCCTCTCACTTGCCAAAGCCCAATTATTTTCAATAATGAAATGAACGGAATTGCAACAAAATATTCTTCCTTCCACTCCATTCTCTTGTATTCAGAATAATATGTCCTTGCCACCTTGCCTGCAGTGTCTCCATCTGAGGAAGGGCCAAGGAAGGAGGAGGCAGCAGATGTCAGTGCACAGGTGGTTCACCTTGCTCAGGCAGCGAAGTATCTTGCACTGACTCAGAGGTATTCCTCTTCTCAACTTACACAGGAATTGTCACATTAACCCTACATTAAAATTGGACATAATATGCTCCACATTGAGCTGCCCTTGAAAACCATTAGGGAAGTTAAGTTGGTGCAGAACACCAAGAAGTCCTTCATTGCACCAGTGGCAGTGGAAGTAAACCAGCAACGCATGTGCTCTACCACTGAGCTGCAAGGCCCCCTGAAAATATTCACCTGAGACATAGTGGGAATCGCTTATATATCTTTCAAAATCTCTGGAATCTTCAGTTTGGAAAGCATTACTAATAGCTATAGTAAATTAGCCCAGACCATGCTACAGGACCTACAGTATAGGTTAAAAAATAACAATGAAAACACAATTTAAGCACATTTTCAAATCTTGGTAACTCAAACATGGATAATTTGTGTTGTTTTGTCTGAAAGTCATCTCAAAAGCAAGCAGAAGCAGGGTGACAATGGTTTGAAACAAATGTGCACCTCTAGAATATTTCAGATGGCTTCCTGCTTCCCTCCCCAGTTAATGAACACAGGAGTTGCTTAAAGCACCTTTCATTAAGAGTGGGAAAGCAAGAGCATCCCAATAAACCATGCATTTGGCACCTGTACAAACTTTTCAGCTCAGCATGATCAAAACTACTCAGCCTTCAAAATCCCGACAAGTTTATACCTTCTCCTGTGATTGCCTTTGACTACTTGAAGTGCCCCAAAGGTGGTGAAAGGGTCAAGAGGTTTGTGTAGGTTGAAAAGGATCAAAAATTAGCATTGATTTGTGGTTGTCAATAACACTCTGCGTGGGTAGACTCCCTGCACAAATGTTTAAACTGCACAAAGCTACACAAACTAGTCATCTTTGAATCTATTGATCTGGTGATCCAGCAGTTTCCAGGATTGTCACTCTGGGCTTTGTGTTCTGTTTTAAGATCTCCCAACATGCCCTGGTGTTTCCTTCCTGGGACACAGGAAAGGATTTGAAGAATATTAGCTGCGTTAGGAGAACTGTTGTGGCATCTGAGAGCTGATGGACAGGTAATATGGCTATTTATCACTTCTTTGGGAGTAATCGTTAGAACAAAGAGTGCCATTAATCAGAGACATTAAGAAAATGACTGCTTCCAGTGCTCTATGAGGAAATTTATTTTTCATCACTTTGTTCTCTCTTCGTTTGCCACCCTTAGTTTTTGAAGGCACAATGTCTAAAGCTCAAAGGGGAGGTGGTTCATATGCTTACTGGGCACACCTCCCTTGTGTGCAGAAGTAACATGCAATGCATAGACAAATATACACACAGATGTCCTATTTGCACTATATTGAGGTTACTTATGCTATATGGATATATGGATGTGTGCATGTGCTACCCAAGTCACTCTTGTCCTCTTACATATTAGGTACATACACAGTTTCCCCCATGACTTCTTCCTTTTTATTTATTTTTCTCTACAGTTTATATAGCTCCCAATATAAGGAATCCATAAGTGGTCCACAAAGGGTCATACAAAATCCAACACATTGAAATACCCTAACATTAAAGAAAATTGATTAAAATTTCAGAGCAAAACCTAAAATGACAGTAGAATTTGAGCAGCATTCCCTTAAGAGTCTTTCCCTCTAAACATTCCCTTAAGAGTCTTTCAGCTGCCCCACATGCAACTGATGACTCCTTATCCATGAGAGAGAGAGAGAGAGAGAGAGAGAGAGAAACAGGCAAATGAGGATGAATAATTAAGATACGTAGGGCGAGAAAATTGCCAAAGACTTTTGTTATGGTTCCTACTGGGAAGTTAAATAACCCTTTGCTTGTGTCCTAATATGTACAGGGGAAATGTGGGGCTGATGTGCATAATACTATATACTGAGGATCTAGATAGGAAAACTATGGGTCTGAGCTGACCCTAAGAACTACCAGTTGCTTATTCCTAGAATATGCTAGAAAAATGCAACCTGTGCCGTTAATAAAGACTGAATAGCTTAGTGGTTAATAGCTGAATAGCTAAGCTTAGCTTAAGCTAAGCTATTCAGTCTTGTATGCTTAAGCCAAGAAATGGTCTCTTCAAAGATATTTAGCACTAGTAGACGCCTCAATGGCACGAGACAACTGAAGAAGCCCAGAAAATTGTGCCAACCCCAACAAATCGGTCCCACCGGGGGCGAAACAGCAGCCTCTCAACTGCATGGAATGCTAGGGCGAAACGGGGCTAGAACGCTGGCACCCTATTACTTCATACGTTGCTTCATCAGCACCTTACAGCTTTCAGGAACAACACTGAACTTACCCTTTTCTTGAATCTTCTTGAACTTAGTTTTTTGGTTTTTTTCTTGTTTTTTTAAATGAGTCAAGAATTTGTAAGAACCTAGTAAAATCTGATATTGCAAGTTCACTTTATTTTAGGTAGTTTGTAAGTTTTCACGGCACTTTGTAAGTAATTGTCTCTTTCTCACATATTTGATAAATGGTGTAAAATTATTTTTGAACAAGTGTGTGAATATTTGTCGCCAACGTGCTGTACGAGTTGCACTACTCCTAGAATATGGCAAGCTTTTAACCTCCTGTCAAGCCATGGGGGGGCAGAGAAAGGGGGGATCCAGTCACTTGTCCCTTGAGCAGTTTGTTCCAAGAATCCTCCCTGCCTCTCTCCAATCTCTTTCAACACCATCAACTCCATCAATTACAAAGGATGCATATGCACTATGAAAGAAGTTTCTGTTGTTATTTTGAGTGCACCTGGAAGGAGCGCTTAAGAGACGCAATGAAAATAGGGATGTTCTACTCAATAACAACAATAATATTTTTATTTTTTATACCCCACCCATCTGACTGGGTTGCTCCAGCCACTCTGGGCGGCTTCCAACATATATAGAACATAATAAAATATTAAACATTTAAAAACTTCCCTACACAGGGCTGCCTTCAGATGTTGTATAGGTACTTATCTCCTTGGCTCAGCGATTGCATAACCATACCCTCAACATTTCTTCAATGAAAATAGGAACATCCTAAGGAAAAGTGGGACATTCTAGGATCAAATCAGAAACCGAGACGACTTCTGTAAATCTGGGACTGTCCCTGGAAAATTGGGACACATGGAGGGTCTGGTTGACTTTATTTGTAAACTGCCCTTGTAAGCTGCCCTTACAGTGCCACATCTTAGGGATAGAAATGAGCAAAGAAATGAAAAGTATACGAACCAGTGGTTCTTTAAAAATGTGAAACTGCCCTATTTAGCTAACAAATCCACACCTTAACAAATAAAAGCCAACTGAATTATTTCACCTCTTCCACTGTAACTTAGAAATATACAGCAAAATCGTCATTCATTCCAGTGACTTCTGAGTGGAGAAAGGAATACCATGCAGGCTCTTTGAAATGAATGAAGGGCACCAGTGCTTGGTGGATTGTGCCCTACATCAGTTAAAAGCAACTGGGTTTGTATTTGATCACGGCCTAAAAGGAGACACTACTTAGTGACTATAAATTGTTTCCTTTCTTGGCACCCCTTGACAGCTAGGGATTTGCAGCAGTCCCAACAAGAGTGCGAGTTCCTTGCTTTAACTTGAAAACAAAGCTTCATAAAAGAAGTCAGTGGCTGCATTCTACAAGCAAGTGCATTTAGCACATTGCATTCAGTTACTCTGCTGGGTATTTCCTTTTTCCCCTGTCTTTCTTTACAGAGTAGGCGGCTTTTAAATTATCAACAACTTTGCTACAGTTTTGCTGGCTAAACATGACAAAAGCCTTTTTCTTGGTGTGAGTGAATTGGACTATTAGAACAAAATTATTTTACCTTTTATCTGAAAAAAATATTTATGTTCGTATATTGAGAATTCTATATGAAAACTACTTTCTCCGAATGAATATTTTCTACACCTCTGATTGTTGTTTAATACTCTCAACATAAAAAGGCAGTGGGATTTTCCATACACCAATCTATTTCAACCATTTGCTTCAGAACCTGGATCTGATTGCAGAATATCACAGCGAAATAACAGGTTTCCCTAGATTGTATTAGGATCCTTCCACAGGGTGGATTTTGCAAACACTGGCCATGCTGAATTAGCAAAGGCTAATTGTTATGACTGAGATTTAAAGATGCCAGAAAAGTTCTCTCAAACCAGGCCCAGAAAATAACTTTGGAAGTTAATTAAAGCTAGCCTCAATGGAGTGGAGAATGAATTAGAAACCCCAGTTCTTCTCTGGCTCAGAATAAAATTCCATAGTAGCATGCTCAAGCAGTGTATGCCTATAGTAAATTGCTCTTACCTCAGATAAAACTATTCACTGAAACTATTATCTCCTACCTGGAGATGCCAGAGATTGAACCTGGGACCTCCTGCATGCAGAGCAAGTGTTATAACGGTGAGCCACGTCC